CAATATACAACGCCACAACGAACAACGAACGGACGAACAGAAGACGAACCGAACGATGGAACGACGGACCACGACAGAACTGAACGAAATCGAACCCCAGGCCGAAGGACAGCCGAACACGGAAGGAATGAAACGGAGAACGCCTGGCGGAAGGAACGAACGAATGGAACAACCCGAACGCCGACAACGGAATGGAATGAAGAACCGGACGCCCAGACGGACGAACATCTGAAGCCCGGATGGAAGGAACACCGAAGCCGAACGGAAATGAAGAACAGACCGGACCACATTGAAGAACGGAAACGGACAAGAAGACCGGAAGACACAACACGCCCAGACAGGAATACGCCCATTGAAAAAAAAACGGAAGAATAAGGAACGGAAGATGACAAAGAAGAATGGAATGAATGGCCGACCAACGCGGAGAAACGACATGAGGAACATATGGATGAAGAAGAACACACGGACACAAAGACCAAGAAGATGATGACCGGAATGAAGACGGACGGAATGGACCGGACGAACAGGACAATCACCGGACGATAACATGAATAACGGAATATGGAAAGAAAATGAATAATGGAGGAATGGCCGGAATATGGAATGAAGAACAAATATTGATTGACCGAAGACGGAAACGGAGTCAAAATGGAAGAATGGATTTTAACTGATGGAAATGAAACGAAGAAATGGAACATGGAATGGAAATGGAAATGGAATGGACAAGGATGGAACGGACGGAATGACCGACCATCGAATGGACACATGAATGGATTTAACGGACCGGAATGGACACCATGGAAGGAAGGACAACAGTGGATCTGAATGGACAGGAATGGAATGAATGAATATCTGAATGGATTTGAACAGGCCACCCAATGGACTGAAGGAAAATGATGGAATGGAAGGACTGATGATCTGAAGGGAGCCTGGAATGGATCTCAATTGATGGACGAGAATGGAAGGAGTCTGATGAATGGAATGGAATGAAGTATGGATGGATAAATAACGGACCGGAATGGAATGGAAAGGAATGGAATGGAATGGAATGGATGGAATGGACTAAGAATGAAATGAATGGATGGATGAATGAGGACATGGATATTTGAGGAAGGAAGATGGATGGAATGGAATACGGACATGGAATATATATAATGGATGGATGGAGTCTCGATAGGTAAATAATGGAATGGAATGGACATCATAGCCGAAGGAATGGAATGGAAGATTGAATGGAGCCTTGAAATGGATTTGGAATGGAATGGATTTGGTGATGGAATGGAAGGGATGGAATCTGAAATGGATCGGATTGGCCCCATTGAATTAGTGAAGGAAGAAGGATGGAATGGAATGGAAGGATAATGGAATGAAGGGACAGGAAGGAACAACTGACCAATCTTAACAGGAATGGAATGGATCTGAATGGTTGAGCCACTTTGAGACGTGCACCCGGTATAGATTCAATTGACTAAAAATGCCCTACCACGCGGGCAATTTTATTTCAATGAGCAGGGAACAGTTAACAGGATCCGACAGATTGTGTGTTGTATCAAATTGGCGCTCTGCTCCATACGATGCAATTAGTAGGACAGCAATCAGTTCAAGAGACATCAAAGTTGTGAGCTTTGTGATATTATTATGGCTCCATATTTAACAAAACGTTGGCATTGGCTCAGCAATGTCTGCAATTCCAAGTCATAATAAAAGAAGGTGGTGGATCAAAAACTGGTTAAGGCAAAGAAAACATTTCTCTCATATAAATTTGATGAGAGAATTGGCAGTGGATGACTTTAGAATGTTTTTAAGAATGAGCGAGGTCTTCAAATCCCCCTTGTCTTTTATCTTGGTTCGAATACTGGGCATCTTTCTTTCTCTAAGGCCAACATCTTGACCACTTTAAAACAGTTGCTACTAATACTTAAAACAAAACGAAACGATACACCGCACCAGTCGGTTTCTGTGGAATTACCTGGCGCGCTCTACACACGTCCCAACTTGCAGGAATCGGAAATAAAATTGTTTGGGCAGCCTAGCCAATCGCCAATTTGTAAATTGTCCCTTATTATTGTCACAATTACTCTACATACAAAGCAATCTGCAGGGTGCCTGCAAATTTTGCCCTACAGATTGAAAAGAAATTGTCATGTGGTAGGGCACTTTAACGCAAGCTGTTGCTAGGATATATTCTATTAATTTTAATTGTATTTTTTAACATTTGTGAATGAAGCTTAAGAAGTATAAAGTGTAATTGAACCTAATTAATTTTATCCACTAATTTCGAAGTTCCGAATGAGGTTCTAACTTTTTGCCACTAATTATACTTCAAAATTCTATCATCTGTTTAGAGAAATTTTAATGTGGTTAGAAATGAAAATATTATTGTTTATAAACGAATTATTAGGCTTTCCCTATGTGGATTCAACTGACTACCACAAACTATTGCTAAGATATTGTATTAATTTTAATTTGCTATTTTAGACCCTAGAATTATGGTAGTAAAAGTGGTATAGTAAAAAGTAGTTCTTAAAATTGAAACCACCTACTCATTCCGCTAATTTCGACTAATTTAAGTGAGAGTGATAATTAATTGAAAACGTGAATTCTGATGAATTACATATTGAACCGAAATTAAAATAAGTTAACGATAAGTTAAGAACCCAATTTATTCGATTAAAATGTATTAAATGGCACTTTGTGCAATTTCAGTTTTTGTCACAACTTCCTTGTCACTTTTTATATTATAGCCCATCGCTCGAATTACTTTAACCTAAACATTTGTACTTTTTTTGTGATGGCAAAAATATTATCCAAAAAGGATATTATATTGAAAGAAGGGCAGCTTCCAAAACTGTTTTCCGTTTCAACATTGCCTAAAACAAGGTTAACGATCTCATTAGATGTATAGATGTAGCATAGTTGCTTCCTTACAGGGGGGACCTAGACCTGAACAAATCCAGTGGAATCACCGACACAAGTCCGTAAGTTGCCGAGTGCAATGATCACTCAGTGTCAGTGTTGTTTGGGTATTTGGTGTTGCATTTTGGCTCAGATATACAAGTCTTTAACTGTTTTTTCTTTATATTTTGTGTATAATACAAAAATCGTTTATGTTTCCTTTTAATTATAAATAATGATATTTTTCATTTGTATATTTTAGCGACTAAAATAAAATAGCTTCATTTTTTCCTTTACTAACTTAAATTAACATACATATTTCCTTTGTAGAAATATTTCTATCATACTTAATTAGATATTTAATATAATTTTCTGCACAATCTTTCTTGTCAATAAACATGTAGGTAGTAAAGCGAAATATTTTATCAATAATTAAAATTAATATCTCTTTATACAATTTTAAATTTCCTTTGTGTAAAATATTTTAAAAATGCTGGCAACATAATAAACATAACGTCTCTAATAAATAAACAATTATTACATTTCCCAAAGAGAATGAAATCTAAATAAATAGAAGAAAGTCGGGTGAGTTACACTATTTATAACTCAGAAACGCCTAAACCAATTTTAATTATCTCTTATGTGTTGGATTTATCTTTGCCCCAAATGGCGGAATGACTATAATATCTCTATAAGGCTCACCTCTATAACTTTTTATTTTTTCAGATAAAATAACGAGATTTGGTATGTTAGTATATGACATAAATTAGGATTAATTGGCGTATTCAATTGTTTTTGGTCACTTCCTGCTTCACTGATTACAACTTTTGATTTCTAAATTTTGATTTCTTTTCAAGAAATGACTACAACTTTTGATTTCTAAATGGCACCCTCGGTATATTTTTTTTATATTTATTCGATAGAAAATGACACTCAGAATAGAATGACATAGTTGACATATAATATGTCAACTCTTGACATTCTCGCTTAAAAAATGTATTTTAAATTTCAATCTAGAGTATCATGG